TGCTGGTATTATTGATAGTGAAAAAAATCGCCCCATATCCACATGTTTCACTGCACATGTCGTCGAAAGACGATATTTTTGCGTCTGGAGTGTTATGCACAAGAAAATCAGTAAATAGTATTCTGCTGGCGCGGTGTTTAAGTACCTCGATGCGTGCAGTGGAAGGCGAACTAGCGCATCGAGGCACATCACACGTGAGACATGAGCGCTATCTGGCAGTTATCTTGGAAAACGAACCGCTTGGCGTGCGCGCCCGTCTCGTAGGCGGTAAGGTGTCGAACACAAGTCGATGCGTTGGTGCCACCCCCGTGTCGTCTTAGCATTAGCATTGGAAACACTTGCCTTTTCTTGCAAGCGTTGCATCATCAGCGCAGCGTGATGAACGCTAAGGTCTTTGGAATTACCTATGTACGCCTTTTCTAGCTTAAGGTGATACATAGAAAATATTGACGCGTTGTTATTGTGCCTCCGAAATGCGCACTAGTTGCTTTTTAATCGACACGCGCACTAGTTTAAACTCTGAAACTTGAGAAATATTGGTGGGCGCTGCGAATGGAGTTGGATTTCGACCGTTTTGGGCAGCATTTTGGTAGACAAAAAGACAAATCCACCGAGAGACAGAAAGACAGAAAGACTTTATTTTTTTTTGCGTCGAAGGTCCCTAAGAAAACTATTTTCTTTATCTAGCTTTCTGACAGTGATCCGCTTGTCTCTTAGCTGGTGCGTCTGTATTTTTTTTAAATTTTTATTTGGACCAACGCCTCCTAGAAAAACTATGCCTGGAACGTCGCTCTTTTTTCAAGTGGGAGCTTCCTGCCAGCGCAAAATCTCGGAGGCCATGCCTCTTGCCGTGTGTCGCGACCGTACGCCACGTGTGACCGCTCGCCTTAGTACTGCTCAGTCACGTGACATTACCGTACCGCTCTGTCACGTGACATCACAGCTGCTCGGAGGCAACTGTGGGAGCATTGCTGCGTTCGCAAGGGGTGGCCGCCCAAGGCGTTCGCCTCCGTACCGGAGGGGGAGCAACGCGTTGGCAGCTCATGTTCGAAGCATAAATGTTTCTAGGAGGTATTGTTAGGACCTTCTGGGCACCTGTTCTCATTGCTTCAGCCTCCGTAATTCATTCGCTGTGCGTTATCTCGTAATTTAGCGAAAAACCTAGGGCACGCCCATCTAGCCTCGCGACGCACTTTTTTTCACCTGCAGCGCGTGACACCAAAACAGTCAATAAAATTATACACCATCAAACATATAAACAAATAGATAAAATCAAGAACACAAAAATGCCGCGAAGAACGTTGAAACTTGAAATACAATCGGCACCAAAAAATAGAAATGCAGGAAACAGTCATACGTCATAATGGAAAAGATGTAACAATGTCCATTTTAATGTATTGCGAAAACTAAACAATAAAAATACGTAATAAAATAAAGAAGAGCTGTCCATAATGACGCGTACAAACGTGGCCCCATAGAGTATTTTCAATATTTTGGTGCCATAGTGGCGGGGAGGAAGGCAGTGGTCACACTCGTCGAGCGCCTATTCTCTTGGGTCAGCCTATGAACTAACTCAAAGCACAAACAACACACGCCTCAAAGGGGTACTATACCGGCTATACCAGGAGTCGGTCTCCAGTGATCTGGTCACCGGCAGAACGCGTCCTTTTTTGTTGTGTGCTATAATAGTGGAAGGTTTTGGCGCTGTCAATCGTGCTCGCGTAAGCTCCTGAATAAACTTGACTGCTCGCTTGGGCGCATAATTTCAACGCGACATCGCTGAGCAGCTTGTTTTGCAGAAATTCCGATGTCAGTGTCTGGGGGTTTTGTCAATGGCCTCCTCGTTAGCGAAACATCAGCGTTGCCTGTGAGTGAAAATCCGCAGCACATGCAGCGAATGAAACATTGAAAAGTCATCAGTTCATGTGGAACCAGGGATTGGAAGCTGAGAATCCCCGCTCGCTGACAGGATGCGTTTAGTATCTCCGCCACCACGCACGTATGCAGTTCACAGCGTTGAATTGGCGTGCTATTTATAGGCATCTTTCTAATTGTTGGTGATACACACATCTCGCAGGATGTTCAGCGGCTTGATTATCACCCGTAAGACTGTGCAAAGAGCCAACGGCAGGACTTTTCCAGGGGTATCAAACAACCGTGTGGCCGTGTTTCACTGCACCGCATGCATGGCTACTAAAGACACAGATCGTCTGACCTTTGGTTTCCCTTGTGGCCTAGTCAGCGCTTTCAGCAAGATATGATGATTGATTGAGAGGGCGTTACAAAGACGGCCATATTACGCCTTAACACAGCAAGTTCGGCACCTAACAATTTGAAACAATTGCGAAGCTTGTCTAACGTTATGGGGCTTCCTGCTTCGAGTGAGTTCTAAGAGATTTTTTGAGTAACATTTCCTTATAACATAAACAAAATTGCATGGGGCAATATGTTGCCGATTGAAAATACGCGCAATGCTAAATAAGGTGTTTCAAGTATGTCCACACCGAGTAAATCGAGGGTTACGACCCAGTATACTAAACACTCGCAATTAATTATGCCATAACGGTGTATGTTTGATGTCAGCATTTTGACGAAAACTTTATATTAATAAACATCGTCGTCTGAGGGATGAGGACACCATAGCAATAGTTCACTAGCTGCGTTGGCGTGCCTTATGGGCTGCTTTTTGGCGTTGTGAGTGCCCTACATGAAAAAGGCTTTTATTAGTAGCACGAAATGATCGTAACGGCAACAAAGGGTCGGAAAGTCTTGAAACTCTTAAAAAACAAAAAATACCGCTTGATAGCTGCATGCACGCAGTGGAGATGTTAAGCGTAAAAACAGAGAAGCAAACTTGGGAAAACCAAAATTTTCTGAAATCAAGCCTTCGAACATCGTATTACATTTGAGTGCGATATGAAACTACTTCATTTGATATTATTATGCAGGAGGTTGCTAATGCAGTTTTTTACAGCGAAAGCTGTTAAGAGATCAGAACACGGGTCTCGTGCGGCGCCGTAGTTGTCTGCCGCCGCTGCCGCTACCGGTATCCGTAACAAGTATCGCAAGAAATAAAACACTCAGTAGATAAGAAGACGTCAGGCCTGCGCAGAAGGAACAGCACAGTCGCAGAGAAAGCTAGAAGAGCGGCCTTTGAGAGCGTTTTCTAAACACTCATTGGGTAACTCCTGCAATCGCACTTGCTGGCTAACCACTAAGGCTATGTTAATAAATACTTCAGGGTAGTAGGCCACCATTCGCTATGCTATCCTTCGTCATTCTTCTGAGAAGCGTGGTATTCCCTAAATTATTGCGAGGATTTTAGTGTCAAACGTTGAAGACAATGAGGAATTATGCCTGATGTAGGTATGTGCCGCAGTTATCAGGTGATTAAGACGAAGCTTTTGTAGTGAGTAGAAGCATTGGACGAGCCATACGTTAACTTTATTCGCATTGTGTGACGCATGGTTGTTCGTTAGCAGATCTAAAACGCTTTGTTACTCATAATAACGCGACTCCTTTCCCGACATCAAGCCTGTCTAAGACAAGTTTGCCGACAAGTCCCAAGCACCGGTGTGGGGATAGTTATAGCGCGAGAACAAGACGACGACACAGAGACAAGAAGTACACGAAAGACACGTCGTCGTTTTGTTCTCGCGCTATAACTATCGCCATGCCATACCAACTAGCCCAAGCTGCCACACCGGTGTGGGACTTGGTTGTTCGTAGTGGTAGAATACTGGGCTGGCACCCTGTGAACCCGGGCTCGAGCCCCACTGTGTCATTGTTGTTAGGTGTTTTTTGCTAATTTCACGCGATGTGGTTACGGACACCGGCGTGGCGTCGGACAACTACGGCACTGCGTGAGACCCGAGTTGTGATTCCATAACAGCTTTCGCTGTAAAACACCAAGGGAACAACAAAGTTCGAACCCTAGTCCACTGCTTGCCGGCCCAGTATTTCTCTACTGAGTCACGTCAGTGCTTGGAACTAATTTCTAAACTTGCCTTAGGCAGGCTTCATTTCGTGATAGGAATTGCGTTATTATGAGCAATGAAATGGTTTAGAAAACAAGAACGACCAGGTGTCACAAACAATGTGAATTGCGTCCAATGCTACAAACCATTACAAAACTTGTTCTTGATCACGGATTACCTGTGTCACATATTTAAACTATAATTCTTCATAGTCATCAGCCACTGCGTAAAAATTGCACGAAATTCTTAGCAAGTAATCGCTGGCCTGCTACAAAGAATTATGATTATTTAAAAAGTTCTGGGTACTGGTGTAAGAGTGCTTGATTCATTTATCTGAAAAGTGGACAGACAGACAGACAGACAGACAGACAGACAGACAGACAGACAGACAGAAAGACAGACAGACAGACAGAGCGAAACAGACTGACGGAAAGACAGACAGATAGACAGATGGACGGACGGACGGACAGTCCAACAGACAGATGGACAGAGACACTGAGGATGGATGGATAGACAGACACATGGACATAGCCAGTGGATGATTTACGATTGGCCGATATGATCCTTCGAAGCTTCGCCCCACTCATCATCATTCAGTTCTAACTGGTATGAAGCCAATGCTTTCACCAAATTATTGCAAAATCACGACATTTGTAAAGCCCTAAAAGCCACAATATTAAGAAATATATAATAAATATTAAAAAATATGCTGCCTTAGTGTTGTCTAAGACAATTCACGAGATCAGAAACAGGCGGCACCGGAGTTACGTTTAATTTTTCTGCATCTTTCAACGCGGACGGTAATAAAGGCAACTTCCAGTATCCGACATATGATTTGCACACGTAAAGAAATGGAAGTTGAGTACAGGTGTATTAAAACATCGTATCAGTTATTGGACCAATAGCTCCACCTGTATTACATGCTAACGAAAAATCAGCAATAAAGTTGGTTTACGTTTTCTTTTTGTATCGTATTTACACTTACGGTGAAGCACCCCTAATTGCACGATTTCGTTAAAGCGTTCACTCGAAAAATGTACACTTCTTCGGCGTGTTCATGGGGGAGCCTTCAGGGCACTGGAAAGCATCAACAAAGAAAGAAGAATGCCGAAGCGGCACGTTGCATTCTCGTCGCAGGCTGGCATCGTCTTTTTTGCCACAAAGCGCATAGCAGTAACTCATAAAGAATATTTGTTCATCGACAAAGTCATCCAGTCCCCGAAGTCGAAGGTCCTCCACACCACCGCCCGTGGTTGCCTCTTCTTCAGCGGCAGCCTTGAAAGCCTTGTAAGACACCTCCAGTGCCGGTATCATAGGCATTACGCTCATCGCTGCCTGACCGTCTTCTTGGCCTAGGTCACAGTTCAGGCGGCTGTTGTACTCGGCCGATTCGGATTTGCCCCACCAATGAATGATCTCGCCACGGTCGTCAATCGATGTGCCCGCCGGGTCAATGCTTTTGATTATCTCTCTCATAATTAATGTTCCCGTGGTTGCATAGTTCATCGCAAACGTTCCTCCGCGGTAAAAAAGCGGTGGTTCGAACGCTAATAAATCTGTGTCGACTGTATTCAGTAAATAGGTGTACACGTATGCTTGATGGCGATATGTGCGCTGCTTCTTGTAGACATTGTTGAAGTGCTTGTTTAGCTGCAGCTGTTGGTACACGTACGAATTATTCAACCAGAGCTCCATGAACGCCACCTTGTTAGTGTCAGGAAAAGGCTGGTACAGGGTCTTCCTGAAATTTTCCACGAAGAACTGGTTTGGAGGCAAGGTGTTCAGGTATATGTTCTCTATCTTGCGCACCGCTGTCTCCCGTATCTCGCGATCTATCCAAAAGGTCTTCTGCATGATAGTATTAAAGCGAGTTCTGATATTTTCTATGAAGTCTGTGACTTCATGGCGGGCCTCTTCGTTTGGGTAAGCCTTCAATATGTGCCCGAGAGAAGGGAGAAGCCCGAAGCGAGCAGTCACGTGCTCGAGGCACGCAAGCTTCTTTTTCTCTTCGACATTGTCAAGGAACATGAAGCCCGCCTTTCCGATAGCCACCCAAACGTGAGACTGGATGAACATCCAGGCGATTCCGATCGATAGCTCTACTTCTGAGTATTCACGAAACAAAGTGTCAATGCTTTTCAAAATGCCGAGGTCTTCAGCTACTGCGAAGTTGTCTGTAACCCAAAATAGACTCTGCCTGCTGTACGCGCTGTTGAGGCTTTTCAACCAAAGGCCATGCTCAATGCTGCTTGTCTTGGTGTCGAGATCGCCGATGAGGAACCATGACTGGTTGCCTTGAGTTTTATGGTTGTTGGCGTCGGTGAACGACTTCTCCAGTTTCTGCAGCAGCGATGGTTCGTAGTCGACATATTCTACTAGCTGCAATGCCTTTAGTTGCTCTTTAACGATTCTCGCGTAGTCGACGGGGCTCAGGGGTTTCTGGATGCGATCATGCCAGGCTACACCGTTGAAGTGCCTCTTGAACAACAACACCTTGCCCGTACTTGAGTTGGTAATAACTTGCAAACTGAAGAGAAAATTCAAGTCGTAGTTGGCCGAGACATTGATCATGATTTCCAGTGGCCGAACTTTAGTAACGTTGGGATTTCTAAAGGGCCACTCTAGATTCACAGAGTTCATGAAAGCGGTGAGCCATAAAATGTTGGCAAGTATATCGCTCTGTTGCGGATCCATGCACTTGTTGTAGAGTCGAGTTGCCCTCCCATGAAACCAAATATCTGCGGAAAGCTCTTCTAACATGCCGATCCGGGCGTCCTCGTTCATTTTGCCTTGAAGAGATTGTTCTGGGAAGTGTTTTTGCCAACCACTGCAAACGAACGCGTAAAAGTCGACGCACGGATCATAACTGGTGTTTATCGTGGCAGAAAGTCTCTTGGCATGCTCGATGCAGGCGTCTTTGATGCAGTAACCGACCGTCTTCTTATGTCTGAAGAAAAGCATGACTGCTACGGCGCACGCCAGCAGCACCACCAGAAACAGGACAACCGCCACAATGAGTTGCTCTCGAGCACGTGTCGGAACCTCCTCACTTGTGGTTGGCGCCGGGGCTTCGTCATTACCCAGAGTCTGCAATGACATGAAACATTGTTTAGCGCATAGAAACGTGGATTCTGAGTGAAAAAAGAAAGTTGTAAAACTCCACCGTAAGGCATGGAGGCTGGGATTTTACCCTTGGTTGAAATGGCGCATAAGGTTGAAATTGAAAATACTACCACAGGACAACGGCAATGGTGAGGGCAGAGGGAATGATATTCTGAGGCGATTTCACTGAACTGTTTAGCTTCATAGTGCACACTTTACGAAAGGCAACGTACACGTGAAAGACGGAGCATGCTATATATTCGAATCCAGAAAATCTAGACCGTTGAATAATGGTACACACATAATGCTCTTGAAGCTCTCGGTGCCCATTATTCAATAATTTTTCCACAACCACACAATTTTCTAAAAAAAAAGAAAGCTTCGCAGACATGTCTCTATAATAAGTGGTCTTCGCGTATTTATAACGTGACGATATCACTTCCACGCCGTCGCGGTGGTCTAGTGGCTAAAGTAATCGGCTGCTGACCCGCAGGTCTCAGTATTGAATCCCGGGTGCGGCGGCTGCATTTACGATGAAGGCGTAATGCTGTAGGTACGTGTGCTCAGATTTTGGCGCACGTTAAAGAACGCCAGGTGGTGAAAATTTCCGGAGCCTTTCGCTACAGCGTCTCTCTGACTCCTATGTTTGTTTTGGGACGTTAAACCCCACATATCAATCAAAAATTTCATTTTCATAACTATAAAACAGCGATTCACCTGATTGCACAGATGTAATTGTGGTTGAAGGTAAAAAACCCTAGAGACACTGTACCAACTGAAGTCAAAGTTTACAAAATGCTTTAAAACGAAAAAAAAACACAGGAAAAAGTCACAGCTTTGCGGCAAAGGCGAAGTAATGAACGTGATAGCAACAAATCGGAAGGTCTTGCGCAGATTGGCAGGAATATCTAAACGTGCCCCGCATTTCTTACGCATAAATGACGCACAAAATGTATTCATAGGTACAAATAGACGCGAATAAGCGTCTCAGTTGTTACTTCGCTGTGTCTGAAAAGTGCGCCCTCTTCACAAACAGTGACTGTGCAACGATATCCGTCACCTTTGTGCGCCCATTAACTTCAACATAATTTTTCCAGTGCAAGCCTTACGCTAGCCAAGACGTATAATCCTCCCACCAGGAGATAAGGCAACGCGAGAGATCGTCCACTCCCCTCCTCTCAGCGGGCCAAAGTACGAGTGAAAGATGGGGCGGTATCCCTCGGTGGCTCAGGGGTTAACACCTCAGATTCAAGACGCGGAGGTCCAACGTTCCATTCCGCACACCGTAGGCTTTTTCTGTATTTTTTCTTCCTCGCGTTTTACTATATATACAGATACCATGACGTCTGGGTTCAGACAGCGTTTATTCAGCCAAAGGCTCAGCAGCGAAAAGGCAGTCTGAGACCGAGTGCACACACACCTGATGATGATTGGGGTGGCACCTAATGAAGATGCGGACAGGGACCCACATGAATGATGATGATTATAATAATGCATATATGAGAAGAAGCGCATGACGAATGCCCACATTAATTCCCCCCACATCGAAGAGGCCAACCTGGCCGTAGCAAGTAAATGTGGCAGAGAACGTCACCTGAAGGGCTTCAAGCGAGACACGTGCACGATATCTGTGGTGCGGTCATGGCGGTATGTTTGGACGACAAGTGGGGTCACACGATAAGTAACGGGCAAAGTCTGTTCGATAACTATGTAAGGCCCAATGAAGTGTGGCTGAAACTTGTCACACAGACTAGGTGTGTACGAATAGGTGTGAACAGGATCACCTCGTCACCAGGTCGGAAGAATACAAGGCGACGGAAGGCGTCATAAATGACTTTTCGATCTTGCTGTCACGCTTCCGTATTGATGCGAGCACGATCACGACACCGGACTAGTATTGAAATGTATTCCTCGCTGGAAGACAGAGACGAGTTGACGTCACTGTTGAAAAAGGAAACGTCGAGGAAGAAAGTAGGGTAACGGCCATGAACGAGGTGGAATGGCGAATAACCGGTGGTGCACTGAGCGGCCGTGTTGTAGGCAAAGGTGAGGAAAGGTAGGAGAGTATCCTAGTTTTTGTGCCCTGGACTGATGTAGACGGCTACCATATCAGCAAGAGTACGGTGAAATCTCTCGGTGAGAGTATTGTTCTGAGGGTGGTTGCTTGAAACTGTCTTGTGCGTTATTCCGGAGGCGCGCAATACTTCCTTTAGTACTTATGACATGAACATCCTTCCACGGTCACTCAGCAATACATGAGGGGCGCTGTGGCGCAGAATGATGGCGTGCAAAATGAAGTCGGCAACTTCCGAAGCAGAGGCAGTTAATGCAGACGTTGCCTCCACGTAGCGTGTCAAGTGGTCTATGGCGGTCACTATCCATCGTTTGCCAGTAGATGTGACGGACAGAGGGCCGCAAAGGTCAATACCTACAACCTCAAATGGCGTTGTGGGGCACGGAATTGGCTGCAGAGGCCCGGCTGGTGCAGTTGTCTGGATTTTACGACACTGGCACGGGACACAGGAACCGACGTAGCGCGCGATGCTAGTAGAAATACCAGGCCATTAGAAGCGACTTCGAATGCGGTCGTGAGTTTTTTGAATACCAAGGTGTACGGCAGTCAAGTCATCGGGGAAGGCTTTCAGCACGTCAAGTCGAAGAGAGAGTGGTAACACGGAAACCCAGCGTTCACCATCAGGGTGGCAGATGTGACGGTACAGGACTCCATTCTGAAGCTTAAATCGCGAAAGTTGACGACGATGCCGTGCGTTATGTGAATGGGAAGCTCTTGAGATATGGTTCATAGTACGTCTACAGTACGAATCAGACAACTGGCAGGAGTGAAGTGTGCGCTTGTCGTCCGATAATAGCTGGTCAATTTAGGCGAGCACGGGTGCTGCAGTAGAAGTGATGGCTGAACTTTTACCGATGCTTAGCTGGGTATTTGGTAGCGGGCAGCGGGAAAGGGCGTCGGCGTCTTCGTGTTTTCTACCTGACCTGTAAATGATATCGAAGTCATACTCCTGTAAACGTAGAATCCATCGACCCAAGCGTCCAGTCAAATTCTTCAACGTGGAAAGCCAGCATAGGGCGTAGTAGTCCGTAACGATCGTGAAATGACGGCCGTGGAGATAGGGACGGAACTTTTCCACTGACTACACCACATCCAAGCACTCCTGCTCAGTTATGGTATACTTTATCTCGGTCGCGGTTAGTGTTCTACTGGCAAATGCAACTACTCTCTTTTGTGAAGAGGTGTCGCGTTGTAGCAGAAAGGCACCTATACCGCGGCCGCTAGCGTCCGCATGTAGGATGGTCCGTGCGGCCTCATACAAGTGGCGGAGTATAGGTTTGGACGTGAGGGCACACTTTAACAGGTCGAATGCCATTTGACATTCTTCCGACCACCGAAAGGGCACGTTGAAAGAAAGAAGCTGGTGCAGTGGAGCCGCTATTCATGCGAATTTCCGCATAAAACGGCGAAAATAGGAATTGAGACCAAGAAAAATTCGCACCTCCTTTGGCCTTTCGGGGCACGGAAAGCGAAGCGCCGCCGCAATTTTGTCGAGATCCGGTCAAATTCTGTGTTTGGTCATGACGTGGCCCAAAACCTTGATAGTTTTGTGGCGAAACGGCATTTTTTTGTGTTGAGTTGGAGACCAGTGGCGGCAAGGCACGTAACAACGTCATCGAAACGTTGCAGGTGCTGAGGAAACGTTGACGAAAAAATGACAATGTCGTTCAAGTAGCAGAGACAGATCTTTCATTTGAGACCGCGTAGCGCGGTATCGATCATGCGCTCAAATGTAGCGGGCGCATTGCACAGCCCAAAAGGCATAACCTTTTCCTAAAGGCTAATCCTTTTCCTTTTTTTTCCTAAAGGCTAATCCTTCCTAACCTAAAGGCTAATCCTTTTCGTGCATAGGAATTCGCCAGTATCCCGAACGCAGGTCGAGGCTTAAAAAGTATTTCGCGCCTTAAAGGAAGTCATCTTGTTGAGCACCCTGTAATCATTGCAAAAGCACACGGAGCCATCCTTCTTACGAACGAGAACCACAGGCAACGACCAAGGGGTAGATGAAGGGCGAATTACCTCTTCTTTGAGCATGTCAGCTACGTTTTCTTCGATAATTTTTCTCTCAGCAGAAGACACGTGGCAGGGCCGGTGGCGTACAACAGATGTTCCGACAGTGTGGATTCGATGCGTTGTAGCAGTAGTGCGGCCCAACGTCGAGGAGTAAACATCAATGAAACTTGCGTGTTTCTTCAACAAAGCAAGTAGCTGTTGCGTCTGTGAAGGTGTGAAGTCGTCGCTATCGCCTACAGTAAAGGCGGAAGAAGAAGCGGGCTCACCCCTTGGGCTGTCGTTGGAGGAGACGGCATGAAGTGGCATGACGCACGCAGGCTCGGGATCCGTCACGCAGGCCACCATGGTGTTCTGAGGAAGTAGAACTTTTCGGATGTATTCACAGCATTGACAAGTGCGGAACCATTAAGAAACTGAACTACAACGGAAGTGAGAATGATGCCTTTACTGACGCAACTAAATGATGGTGAGACCAAGACGTCACCAAGGTCGATGTCCTTGGAGGTAATAGTTACAATTCGCTCTTGACCTGGTGGTAATTTGGTATCTTCCGCAACTGTCAAACGAAGTGGCCCCTGGGAGTCGTCGTTGAGCGTGCAGTCCGTGTTTGTTAGGTTGACGACGCGTTGGCCACAGCAAATAGCCACGGTGGCAGAATAAAGAAAATCCCACCCTGAAATTCATTGGTGAGAGCAGTCAGTCAGGACGGCGAACTGAATGTGATGTCGGATACCATCAATAAAAACGCGGGCTGTACAGAAAGCGGAAAGGCGAATGGTATACCCCAAGAAAGCAAACAGCGTGGGTACATCGTAGGGGGTCATAACTTTTTTTCAGACGTTGGCTTAAATCAACACACAACAGAAAATGCTTCACCCGTGTCCACCAGAGCATCCACGTACACTCCTTCCACTACCACGGGCCTGGTGGAGAAATATTAGTCTTAATTCAAAATGCCGTTTTTCCCCCAGAAACTGCATCACTTAGTTTCGAATGACTGGCAGTGACAAATGAGGCAGGCCGAAGTGGGGAGGAGGAGCAGTGAAAGGGCGATGGTGAACGGCGTCTGGAGTGCCGGCTGTTCCGATCGAGGTGCACTCGATGCGCGCGGAGAGGAAGACTGGTGAGGAGGCAATGAATGGCGTTGACCTTGATAGTACAAAGTATGTCGTTCATGCAAGTCGTAACCGCGGCGCTCGTCCTGCCGGCGCTTGTGGCAGAAACGAAAATTGTGGCCGTGATACCCACAGTAACAGCAAACTGGGCGAGATGAGCGTCAGGGGGAAGGGTACAAACTATGCGGAGTACCTGAAGAGTGTGATCAGGTGGGCAGAAGAAGGGCCAGGCGGGATCGAATGAAAGTTGAGGGGAGAAGCGGCAGCGACCGACGCGTAGGATGGTAGCAGCAACGCCTAGTTTACCTCACTGGGAGGCACAGCAGCCACCTGCGCGTAGGTTCGTATTGGCCGAGACGAGGGTGACTGGACGTGAGCCGGAGAGTTCAGAGATGTCAGTTCCTTCCTGATAATGTCACGTAATGCTGCTCCAGTAGACTGTGGAGAACACGGCGGAGAAGGTGGGAAGCCCATGTTCTGCAACTCTTCACGTATTATGTCTCTTATGATGTAACGAAGAGGTCTGTTAGATTGTTCACCTATGTCTGATTGTAGACGAACCGAGTCCAGAGTATCGAGGCGGTGACATGTCGCGACGACGTCGGCTATGGTAGCCGGGCTCTGAGCAACCAGGGCATTGAAGGCAACAGGGCCTATACCCTTCATAATGTGGCGTAGTTTGTCGGACTCTGGCATGGATGAATTGGCCCGCCGGCAGAGCGCAAGAACTTCCTTATTGTACGGCGTGTACGACTCACCGGAATGTTGTTGGCGAGTGTCGAGGGTTCTCTTCGCTACTGCGGACCGAATGACCGGTGTGCTGAAAACGTGACGGAGCTGCTGCTCGAAGGTCGCCCAGTAGGGTACGTCGGTGATGTGGTTAAAGTACCATGTGTTCGCCACACCAGTCAAGTATAAAGAGACGTAACGGAGCTCGGCGCTATCGTCCCAGCGATTAGCAACACTCACGCAGCTGTACTCATCGAGCCAGTCCTCCACGTCTTCCCCGCGAGGACCAGCAAAGAGAGGGGGATCACGCTGGTTGTTGTGTACGTAAACAGAAGGCGCGGCTGAAGACGGCGGGGAGATATGGCAGCAGTGCCGGCAGGCTCGTTCTGTGACATGCTGCCAGACAGTGGGGACAATCAGCGGCCTGAACGCAGCTCCAGAGAATCGAGCGAGGTGGGAGAGAACCGAGAACCGTATATCCACCTCTAACACGTATGACGTCTGGGTTGAGACAGCGTTTATTCAGCCAAAGGTGCGGGAGCGAACAGGCAGTCTGAGACCGAGCGCGCACACCCGATGATGACTGTTGTGACACCCAGTGAAGGTGAGGACAGGCACCAGACAGATGATGAAGATTATGATAATGCATATATTAGAAGAAGCGCATGACGAATTCCCACAATATGTATACATATCAAGGCATCACGACGCGCCGAATGAATGTAAGTCATAAGCCATGGTGTGAAAACCATCTCATGCATGTAATGTAGAGAAGCGTTCCAAATTCTGAAGGCCACGGCAGTGCTATGCAAACAGCACAGCGGTACCATCTGACGGTTGCTCGAAAGCACGCACTGCGCACGCGTTTTTTATTGTATCTCTTAGCCGGCCCGTTCCCTCGAAGTACGCTCATTAGTGGTTCTACGACAGAAAACCATGGAGTGAACATGATGGGCACCATGGTTAAGGGCTGTGTAAATTTGAACCATCAGGTATTCTTGCAATAGCGTTCGCAGAGATCTCGCAGTACACGCGCCTCTGCCATTTCGCCTACACCACAATGCGTCCACCGCAGCAGTATCTTCTAGGAACCCGCAGGATATTTGCGGTGAGAAGAAGAAATTTCAACATGCATCTGGTACCTTTTAACGTATACCGCTTAAAAAAAAGCAATGCGAAGTGTCTTTTCCGCTACGTTGATTGTCCGGTAAATACTTTCGGCACGCAAGTAGTATCGTGAGTCCAAGTTACGCATTTTCCTCCCGTTATCCTCTTTCTGAGCTTCGGCGGCGACTGCGGAAGTGCAACTTAGCGCGCGCAGGTAAACTAACCAAACCGGCAGGTTGACAATTAAAAAAAATTGGCAACCTGCCAATGTAGTCGAAAGACGATAGTCTTGCATCTGGACAGAGTGAACAAAACGTTTATTTGATGTTCTGCGCAAGAAAATCGGTGAATGGTATTCTGGAGGCACTGCGGTAGAGTGCCTAGAGCGTGTAGCGGAGGCGAACAAGCGCATCGAGGTACGTTAGACATAAGCGCCATCTAGCAGTTATCTTCAAAAACGAAGGCGCGCAGCCCGCGGAGAAAGATGCGCGCCAGTCTTGGAGGTGATGAAGTGTAGAACGCAAAGCGACGGGCAGGTGCCGCCACCGTGACGTCGTAGCGAATCGTTGGAAACACCTTTTTGAGCTTCGCGCTGTGCTGACAGTGCAGCGCGATAAACACTACATTCTTTAGAGTTATTTGTGTGTGCCTTTTTAGTATAAAGACAGACAGACAAAACTTCAAAGTGTTGTTATAGTGCCTCAGGTATGCGCAATAATTGCTCTTTATTCGACAATCGCACAACTATAAACGCTAAACCGCAATATTGGTGGGCGTTGTGAATTGGGTTATCCGTTTTGTGCAGTTTAGGTATTGTAAGGGTGGACAAACAGATAAATGTACAGACAGACAGACAGACAGACCAATATTTTTCCGTCGAAGGTCTCCAAGAAAGACTATCGTCTTTAAAAGCACGCGCATGCGTCATTTGTGCTATCTAGCTTCGCAAGGACGACAAAATGGGCTACGGTGTCGTACGCAAAGCGTGTTCTTAGTCTGTACCGTTTCTAGCACGGCTGTACGTCGAATCTATTGACATGATGCTAGGACACTTCATGGTCGGTTTATTAGGTTGATATTGATAAAAATTGGCATGGCAAGATGCTAGCATGTGACGAACATAAGTGATATAGGAGTATCAAACATGTGGCCCATTTACCTTTTGATGGCGGCCAGCCCCCACATGATTGTTTTTTGTAAGCATTGTCTTTAGCTACAGAGGCCTGGTCTTGAGAAATCTGTGTGTGTGTGTGTGTGTGTGTGTGTGTGTGTGTGTGTGTGTGTGTGTGTGTGCTTGTGTGTGTGTGTGTGTGTGTGTGTGTGTGTGTGTGTATGTGTGTGTGTGTGTGTGTGTGAACACAGTGTTGTTCAAACATAACCGTAAGATAAAAAACACAGCTCAGAGTCGGTGTTCAGTTTTCAGTAATTTTGGATAACACTATAAAGTATTCGGTAACGACCCATATATGTTACGGGGCAATATCTTCTTTCTGTAGTTTACGTTACCGGAAATTTTTACGCTAAACTACCTGAACCCCCCCCTCCCGCCCTCACTCTTGTTGTTGCCGCTTCGCGCCCACTAGGTCCACTGTTCCGGCCTTTTCGGTACTAAACATTTTTACGGTGGCCTGCTAAGCAGGCTGAGTCTGAAACCCTTGTCATAATATTAAAATTATGTAACTCTCACTCAGCTACTGTAGATACAAACTTTGTGCCAAGGTATTGATGGTCTCTGCCACTCGGGACAGTTTCATCATCCTGATGTAAGCGAAACTTGGCAATGCGATATTATGAATGTAAAAGAAACGTGAAGTAATCGCCTTAATATGAAGGTTACGGCATTATGTCATGCACGTCGTATTTTAAACAACACAATCTCAGTACTAACGATCACTTCATCAAAATCATATATACCAAACTTAGCAAGGTGAACACCGCAATGCAGATTTTGTTTTCATGGTATGTACGAGAATTCGCGCAGAAATACGAATTAAAAACTGGTGGTATAGTTAACGACATGCCTTAACTAGAATTCATTGGTTAGTATCAACGCCCGGAATTGAGGTGTGCTACTTCTAGCTTCTGGTTCGCCATACACTAATAGCGAAAGTTTTTGTGATCTGTTCTATTTTTTGACATTTACTTAATGCCAATGCTTCTTTAAGCAACTTTTTAGCCAGAAGTACAATACTGTGTGAGTCTGTGTCGTTGTGTGTCTGTGTGTATTCTTGTGCATTCTACCATGTGTGTGTGTGTGTGTGTGTGTGTGTGTGTGTGTGTGTGTGTGTGTGTGTGTGTGTGTGTGCGTGTGTGTGTGTGTTGTGTGTGTGTGGAGAATAGAGCTTAAGAAAATAAAAATTTCTTTACAACACGCAACAAAAGGTAACGTGGTAAAACAGCCACACTGTGAGCTACCACGAACCGAACGCAGAAAGAAGAATCAAAACTTGCGGCAGATTCCACGCATGGCGCATGTGTATAGGTAGTGGATCAACCAGGAACGTCAGATAACCTGTTGCGTTTTTGTTGCTTGAAACTTGAATTGCACCTTTGAAGTGTTTTTCTTTCTGCGGGAATTTGGTGTATTGTGGAGTTTATTTTCAGTATATGTTGAATTGTTTCCAATTCGCAGTTTAGTTTGGAAATAATTTTTGTGCTCCGAAAAGAAGTGCGAACTTGAAGCTGGGACCTGAAGTTGGCAACATTAAACGCTAGAACCTTATCTAACGAGGGAAGTCTAGTTTTACTATTCGAGGAGCTAGAGGGTGTTTAATGGGGTATAATAAGGCTCAGCGAGGTTAGGAGGACAGATGAGGCCTATTTGGTGCTACAGATTGGGCACGTCCTTTGCTATCAGGGCTTGGATGACAGAAGAGAACTTGGAGTGGGGTTCCTAATCCATTGAAACATAGCTGGCGAAATAGAGGTCTAGTATAGCAATAATGAAGGGTGGTAGGTATCGTAATTAAACTGAATAAGAGATACAAGATGAAAGTGGTAGAGGCTTATGCGCCTACATCCAGCCATGATGGCGCTTCAGGTGAAAGATTCTATGAGGATGTGGAATCGGCAATGGTTAAGGTAAAAACACAGTATACTATACTGATGGGAGACTTTCATGCAAAAGTAGGGAAGAAGCGGGCTGGAGACCCGGCAGTAGGAGATTATGGCATCGGTAATAAAAAAGCCAGAGGTGAAATACTAGTAAAATTCACAGAACTCAATAATTCACGGATTTCGAATACCATCCGCCAAAAGCAAGGAAAGCATAAGTGGACATTGATGAGCCCTAATGGCGAAAATAAGAACGAATCAGACTTCAGAATGAGTGCACACCCAGGCATCGTGCAGGATGTCGAAGTGGTTGGCAAGGCAAGGTTGGCAGTGACCATAGAATGTTACAGTCCTGAATTCGCCAAGATAGAAAAATGAACGACAGAAACTGATACGCAGGAAGCCAATCAATGAGCTAGCACTGAGAGGGAAAGTACGGGAATTCAGAATCTCGCTTCAGAACACGTACTCGGCTCTTAGTGAGGAAACCATACTTAGCGTAGTAAGAGTGAATGCTAATCTGACGAGTATCATTACGGAGTGTGCAGTGGAAGGTGGAGGCAGGGTTGTTAGACAGGACACTG